ACAGCCCAAAGAGACAAATCGCCCCTGCCTGCCAGCGAATGACTGGATGTCTGCCCGCGAACCCAGAGACAAACCTCTGCTTCGCACCCCTTCGGAAACCTCGCGGAAGCGGATGCCTGTCGCGCCCCGATCCGCGATTCACTGCCTCGAACTCCTTCCGGTGTCGAGAATCGCGCTGTTCACTGTCGCGATCGCGCCTATTCCGCGATTACTAGTCCGATTCTTCCCGTTCGCCGCTAAATCGCACTGTCCTCGCAGAACCGCCGCGAAGCTGGACTCCCGCGATTCTCTGCCGAAGAGGATTCGCGAAATCCTGCACCGAGCCTTCCTCCTTCCCGCCTTCGCGAAACCGAGCGAAGCGAATCCGGAGGGAGAGTGTCGCGAACGAAGTCGTTCGAAGCCTCCTCTGTGTCGCGCACCTTCGCGACTCGCAATTCCTCTGTCCTCGCGCACGTAGTCTGCGACACAGAAATTTGCTAACTTCCGGTCTCCTCTATCGCGAAGCCTTCTCGGTCGATCGTCCGTACTGCCTCGCGAGTCCTCTGTTATCGCGAGTTCCAGCCGCGATTCGCCTCTGCCGAAGAAGCCAGATGCTGCGCCCCGAACTCCGGCGGTAACTCCTCCCGGTGTCGCCGCCTGGTTGCGAAACTTCTCGCAACCCTGTCGCGACCGTCCGAGGAAGCACCTCAAAACCGCCCGAACTTCTTCTTCTTTCTTCCTGCACCGATCTCCTCCTGTTCCCTCGAAAAGAGGCTCTGATACCAATTGTTGTGAAATTTAATGCGGAATAAAACAGGAATCGACACAAACTAGAAGAACACGGAGATTTAACGAGGTTCGGCAAAGAATTGCCTACGTCCTCGGGAGCGAGCGGCGGTTTCACTATTTCAGAGAAGTTCAATTACATCCCATAGGGTTTCCCATATAAATAGACATATACAAACCCTCAGATAAAATTACAATCACGCCCTCGCTCCTCCCAACCCCCTTTATTCCAAGAGACACTCCTTTTCACCAGGAGACACGCCTCTTCAAAAGAAACTCCAACTCCCCAGATATGAGCCATATCTAACAGAACGGGGCGGTGAGACTATTGCAAAGGCAATTCTTTACCAGGCAAGAACAATTCACAAAGAAGGACTCTATTCGGCAGCGCGGGAGGCACGGAGATACTCCAAGACTCACGAAAGTCAAGGAATGGAATCTGTTGCTGCACTCGGGAAATGAAAGATTTCTCTTTGGAAGGAAAGCGAAGGCGGAGTTTTTCTAGAAGGAAAGTGGAAACAGAGCTTTTCTAATAAGGAAAGCGTAGCTTTTTTGGAAGGAAAAATGAGTTTTTTTTTTTTTTTTGGAAAGCGAAGGCGAAGCTTTTCTGAAAAGAAAGGGGAGTGTTGGCATCAATTTTTGATGTCACGGAAACAGGGTATCCACCTGCATGACTCAGGATAGCTTACGGTCTGTCCGTAGTCATCCGATAGTTT